AGTAACAATAGCCATAGCTATTAATTTCGAAATGTGGTCCAGCAATTTTGATAAATATCAATAAAATGGAGTTTTTAAAGGTCAAAAAATATTATAAGTTTCATCCAAGATGTACAATTAGTTACAGTTTGAATCAATGTGAAAATTAGCTACCTTAAATTTTATGAAAAAGTCTAAATGTTTTTCAGTGTAAGTGATAATATTTATTTTCGGATAGAAGTTAAAATAACTCTAGAATTTAGCAGTCCCATTTAAGCTTACATTTTATATTCCAATAAAAATTTCGTACAAAAACTGGAATAAGTTTTTATTAAAAAATGTTGAACTATCAACTTTCGATACCAAACTTGTTTACTAAAACATAAAGAAGTTCGTATGAAATCTGTGATACTTTTATTTAATAATTCTTTCCATATCTATCAAATAACATGTTCTCGTTAAACAGTTGAAAGAAATTCTAGACTGTACTTTGATGTTTTTTAGTGTGGAAAAGTTTAACAAATAATAAAATATTTTTCGCCTTGATATTAAAACCTGATTTTACTAAACTTCAGTAGTATATACATATATATAATGTTATTTTATGACTTTATAAAAGCCAGGATTATCAACCTAACCAACTACCAAGTTCAGAAAATTAACCATAGAATTAAATTGAATTGTGGCTACCAGTAGAATCTAGGATGCTCATTTTGTCCTCATTCGAACTCATCAGCCGTAAGCATCTGTGTCTCTATGTGAGTGATCACATAAGTACTCAAGGCTGTGTTATGTCGAAAGAAAAATAGATTGTTCAAGTTGTGTTGTACTCAAGTGATCGGGTCATGATGAGAGGAAAGCAATAATGTTACCATTCTCTCTCTTGTCCGAATATCTATTGATTTAGTTATTTATTCTTTGGGACTGCTAATCTAAGTACTATTTAGCAAACCGACCACTGAACAACAACTAAGAGCTCAACGCTTATGGATTCTCGATCTCGTTATAACCTAATGTTCACACATAAAAGGAAAATAGAAAACAGATCAGTTCCTTATTGTAGTCAGTTCATTTATGACTTTAAACTCTTAAAATAATATAACTGAAATGTCTGACCGTACAGCAACACGATTAAAAAATTAAAATTTGTTTATAACTTGGTCATAAGAGACACAAGATCAGAGTAATTGGGGAATAATGATTGATGATAATTCTGGTATTATAAGACATCTTAATTAGATCAAACAGAAACTTAGAAATAGGTTAATATAAAAACAAATAAAATAGTTCAAGCATCTTCCAATAGTATTATGAAAAAATATATAGAACTATTCGTATGAATTCGCCGAAAAGAGAACTCTTCGCTGAACTAATCTTTCTTTCTTATTCGTATGATGTTTTAAAAAGTTATACTTCTATACTATTGGCCCCATTATATTACTTCGTTTTTTTGCTTTAAACAATATCTTGTTATCTGTCAAGCTACTTAGCTCATATAGCAACTTGTTCGATGGACATGAATATGTAGGCATATCTAATTTTTTGTATTTTTTTCGTTGTTGGTATTTAAGGACATCATTTGCTCAGTATTGTGCTTAGTGGTAATATCAAGGTAATCCATCCGCGATGTTGAAATACCAAAATATACTAATCAAATCTAGACCCTAATATCAACCATGTACAAAATCAAATCCATATACATATCATACGAGGTTAAGTTGTTTTTCTGAGACTATAGAGACTTGCGATATGATTTGGGGCTAAGGTCTACAAGTGAAATATACGTTTTAGACATGAACTGGGCGCATGTTTATTTTACTGAGATATATTAATTATAAAATGAAGTTTATGCACAAATGTCCCGTTAAAAGTATGCCTACTTATAAGTAGCTAAACTAATATCAAAAATTATCAGCGTTGATGACTTGATTATGATACGGATTGGTTATAACATGTAGGATATATATAAGTTAGTAAACCAAACTTCCAACCGAATAAGAAGTTTCACTTTACACCTTTTAAATTTAATCTGATATTCTGGCAAAAGGATTCTACTTTAAAAAGTCAGGTTTATATATATATATATATGTCTTACTAAGTAGGACATCATTAGCTCAACTAGTGAGCGAATTCCGGAAGTTCAACATTGAGGACAATCGGATTACAATATTAATATAATTATAATTTAATATTATTTCATTTTGACTTTTAAGGAGTGAATGTGGTTTTTTAATATGGAAATAAGCTTTGTGAATAGATATATACTATATATCTACATAAATATATCAAAATATTCTTGTTTTTTATCAGAATAAAACTGCATCAAAAAACTTACAGATGCAAACAGACTTACTAAAGATGGACACATTCTTCTAAATTAACAAAAACGTTTTTCGAAACCCAAGGTCTATAATTAAAAAGTGATCATTTGGGAAATTAGAGGTTATATGGTATCCTGTAATGTAGTTGCATTTTGATTTACACTCCAATCTACGTAATAAAATTTCCGTCCATAACTCACTGATTACAAGATCTGTAAGTGATGGCCAGTATACATCCTGCAATAGTAATAATAATTTTATATTTTGCTATTGTCTTTTTTCATATCTGATTGTACAATTAAGGTTTGCTTCAAAAATATTTAAAACGTGTGAAGGTAACTTATTTTCGAACTATAATGGAACTATCGGTTATTATTTTTATAGCATTATCTTGCGGCTTTAAGACATGTTCGAAACAATTTACAACTGATACTCAAAAATACATAATCAACTTGTATTTATAGTTGGTTTTGCAAGCATTATTAGTTTCCGGAAATCTGCTTTGATAACAGTATGACGGCTGATTTTCGAAGTGAATGATTGTAATCTTGGCTGTATTGTTTCAAACTTCACCATTTTTTTTCACAAGGCAACGGCTAGGTATTCTCAGTTCAACAGTTTTATGTTCAGTGTAAACATCTCTAACTTAAAAAAGTCTTCAAAGTGGGAGGAACTGATTTTATTCTTTAGATTTAATCTTCTGTTTTATAATACCTGTAAGCACAACAAATGATCGTGTGGCCAACTGTAACTTATAATTTGCATGGTTTCCTTAACAATAGGTTAATTCAGTTTTGTGAACACATCCTTGTGCGCGCGAACCATTTTTCGTTCCACTTGTCTTTCTATCACTGCTTAATATTATAAAAGTCTTATACGGTTTCAATGTAGAACAAGTACATTGTAAATTACAAATCACTAGCTTACGCCAAAATAATATTCTTTGAAAAAAGTAGGGTCATAAAATTAGGATTTTGAGCCCTAGCATTGTAACCAGCAGGTGGACTAGTCCTTGGAACTTTTCGGCTGTAAAATGACAAACACTCATGTGAAAGTATCTATTAATGCTTAGTCAAAGATGTCAATATGAGTACCACAAATGTAGCGAGAATTTGTAGTGCAAAACAAGAGTGAAAATTACTTAGTAGTTTTATATTATAACACTTATAGTTTGTCTTCAGGTTATGAACTTTTATTATCTACTTAATACTAAAGTAGGCCATATTCAGTGTAAAAAGTGAGTAAACTAACATTTGAAAGAGGAGCTAAACTGCCTATGTAGTAAACACTAAATTTTACATATTACTTAGTAATAATATTTAAAAAAGCAAGGTACTTATAATAAAACAAAGCAAACATGCCTTCAAAAAATAACGACAAATCTGAAGTCCTGTGAGAATGTTTAGACATGATTGCCGCAATCCTACGAATTGCCAGATAGCAATCAAAAAACATAAACATGACTGAGACAAGAGCAAGTGACTAATAGATTTTAAAAACTTTGAACACACTAGGATTTTGAGAAAATGTCAATGTTTTTTTATAGGACTTTAGGAGGAATTGATTTCGAATGGTGGTGAGCATCCATGTTCGATGGAAAAAATTCCCAACAATTCAACTAGCTTCAGTGATCTAACAGATTCTGAGTCCTTCATTCAATGTTTGTGTTGGACTCAATGTGCTTCCGGGAATGCCCATGTAGTGGTAAATAAATCCCCAAAATAAATAGCTCTGTAAGTTTTCGACATTGGATGCTGACCAGATTAGTTTTAGTGGACTCATCTAGATGAAGGTACTCGGTCATGCGTCCGCACCAGATCACGTGTGGAAACGCCGTGCTCAACATCTACTACAGTCGCTAGCCAGACTAGATCAGACAATTCCGATATATTGGCAATCGTCAAATACAACTTCTGATCTCCTCGATTCTGTCTTTTGATTTGTCTTGGTGGGTACGATTTATAATAGGTGTTACTGGTAAAAGCGTTGTCAATCACTGAATACCTGTGCCATCTTTACCCATAAGCATTTACAACACTAGCAGGTAATCTTGTATTCTCCAAGTAATAAAGATCTAGTGTTTTCAAGTCCTCGTTTGAATCGAACCGTAATCCACATTCTGATTTTTTGGCTCATCATTAAGTACGAACCAGCGTTTTCACTCGTATGGGGGGCGAAAGCACTATGAAAGGGATTGAATGTATCTACCTATATCAGTGTGCCAAAATACCTGTGGATCATTTCAATCAACACATCCCATTTCATATAAAGATAATATTCGGAATAACAGAATTGTGAAGACTGTAACATAGAAGAAACGGCAGTTATAAAGATCTACACAAACTGACGTACATCTCCAGACACTAGATCATTGTCTTGTACTATCGTCTGAAATATGTATGTCTGCTAGTTTTTACGTGGCGTTTCGAAGCAAAACGTTCTTATGGATTTGTGTTTGCTTACTCAAAGACAGCCAGTGACTTAGTTGTCTCATGTACGATCGATATGTAGGGAATACGAAAGATTTCAACCCAGTGCCACTGATTAAAAATAGAGCTGATGCTTCCGTATATAATCAGATTTATTATGGAAAAAATGCAATCTACAACGACCGAAAAATATATTGTACGCATTATTTTCGTATTATTAACAAAATAAGAATGATCATGAGGCAGAATTAGGAAAACCAATCATAAGTCTCTAACTATTCATTATTTGAAGCTCTTCTTGTTCACTCGCCTCCAGCCTGCCCCATGCTACATGTGATACAAATTTTCCAAACTGTTCTCTGAGTCTTTCCCCATCTTTTGGTATGTTAGAAAACAAGTGGAGTATTTTATGCAGGTCATCTGCTATAAGTAACAGGTAATTTTCCATGTATTCGTCTTACGTAGAGAAACCGGGTCACGAATTGATGTGTCTGGTTTTTTGTGACAAATGATGCACATCTGCTGTTCGCTCAGGCCCAAACTAGGTGGCACTGCTCGATACCTACAAAAAGTGGCAGTAAGGAAAACTCACCAATCTTGTAGATTGTTTACGTGATTAAGATTATCAGGGTTATACACAAAAACAACTCCATGACACCCTTTGAAAATAGCCGGCCAGCAAGTTTCATACCTACGAGGACCATCACAAATATAAATAGAGATTTACTTTTTATCTCCACTGGCATCCCATAGCTCAACTTCAACTTTGATGGTTTTTCCTTTTATCTTGACTTTTTGTTCATATTCTAATATTCTATATTGTAAAGATTGGTTATTATGAGTAGTTAGCCAACTATTCAACAGGTGGGGAATGGAAATACCTGACACCACTGGTTGGATGATATCCACCAGTAACCTGATCTACAGTTTCTGAAAGATAATTGCAGATATATGATTTGCCACACTGAAATATCGAAAATCAGAAAATTCATTATAAATGATAACCTCGTTTGGACCGACCACAACCAGCTTGAGGTGATTCATGATTATTAAAACATAATTTTCAACTATACTAACAAATATTTGTCGTGATTCAAAGTTGATGTATTTTTGAAAAATCACATGTAAGTCACTGCGAAGTTCTATTTATTATTGTCATGACAACGACCCAAGCTGCTTTGCGACAATTTGAATGCATGAAAGTGAAGTATTTTTGAAATGTCTTATGAGGACAATTCTAAAAACTTCATGGAAGAACTACCCACGAAATCAAATGATGGTCTGATAATTTTAGATATACATTGTTTACAGATGAATCAGATGATGAATTCCTTATCGCCAGGCCAAATTGTATTCACGAACCTCCCATTGCTTCAGACGGGATAGTGAGCAATAAAACTGATCACAACAAGGATATTAAAGACGATTCGTCACCAGGAGGTTTTTTTTCAGCAATCGATGCGGTAGAAAAGTTAGGATATGAAGGAAAGTTGAGCAGTGTTCAAATCGCTCAAATGAAGCATCGTTTCTTCAAACTTAGTGGCCTTCTTTCTAAGTATGTGCATTCATTGAAGTTTCTAGGTTGCGCAAAGCGCACGGCTGTTGGTCTTTGCTATAGACGATTGATGTATGACCAGGTTGCTACTTGTTATCAACTTCGTGTCTAAAATCAAAACCCACTAAAAATTGTTTGCTCGGAGCAATAAGGCTTTCAATAAAGGTTTGTAGTAGTTTTCAAGAGTGCCAACAAATACATCTTACCACAGCCATCAACCGCCTTCTTGTCTTTGACCTACGGAGAGGTATACTCTGGTAACTGGCACGTAGTCTTCCTGTAGTGTTGATCATAGTCAATCGCGACTCGACACCAACTACGAGCTGATCAAGTTTTATTAACGAAAATATAATTTTAAATGATATGCATTTATCAGCTACCTACATAAATCTTAGTGAACCGAGCTGCGCCCTACAATCTACCACTGATTGATTTTTTGTAGTTAGAGTAGTGTAATCAATATTTAAATACTCCACTCATTTTTATTCAGTCGTTACTTCTGTACCTGTTATTGCAGAACAATCTAGTTCAGTTTTGAATATATGAAATAACAGCGCAAGATTTCTGTTCAGTCAGTGGTCAGCAGACAAGTAATTTGTTCCGAGCCTATAAACTTTTGGGTCATTATGTTTCTGGACAATAGGTAGCTCAGTGTTACTCACTACATGTGCATCTTCACTATGGTGGTTAATATTAACAGTAATACGCTTGCATGCATTCAAATTTTAAACCATCTAGATAAATTCTTCAGGTTATTTTGAAGCTATAAACTCCTACATTCGTTTTTTATTGCTCTCTGTATCTTGATAACATTGGTTAATAACAAAATCGGTGGTGATAAGAAACTAATAAGGTTATTTGCATCCAGAAGAAACAACACTTTCAACGCGCAGCTTTCCAGCTAGACAACTTGGAGTTAATGCGTAAGCTTTTATGATGCACAATTAGGAAATCATTTATGCATACTTATAAGTAAGTTGCCCCCAATCCCAACATCACCTAATTAAGGTAACAGCCCACTGTATGTAGCTTTATTGATGGTTTGAATGAAGTCATCGAAGACCATATTTATATATGGCTTTTGATTTTTAAGAGCACATCAACTTTCATGTCCCTTCAGTACGTTATTGAGACATGAATAATCCGTTTTAAAGCCACTCTGTTTTTCAGGAAGAAATGAGGTTTTTGTCAACAAACTTAAAGAACTCCTTCTAAATAACATTTTATGGAATAATAACAACCACGTTGGTTAAGTTTCCAGGTCAATAGTAACCAGGTTTTTGTCTCATGCTTGTTTTGAAAACAGAACTTACTATGATGTTGTTTCAGCCTTTTAGTAATCTACCTTGGATTACTGATAAACTAAAATACATATTTAAAGAATTCGGTATAAAATATTCTAGCTCCTTTTGCAATCTAGGATGTGTTCAAGGAATCCCATAAATTTACCCTGTTCAAGCTTGTTTAACAGACCAGACGCATCTAGTTCTTTAATGGTAACAATGTTCACAGTGTTTACTCTTTATGAGTCGAATGGGGGCGACGCTACGGTATATATATTGCTAAAGTAATTTGAGAATACTTAAGCTTTACCATAATGGTCTTCTATTAGTGATGCATTACTACTGTCCCCCTCCATAATGCCGAGGTACTGTCTCTTCTCTTAGTCCTCTGATGTATGCACGAATATAAGCCATTAGTTTATTCTGTAAACTCCTTCGCCAGCTTTGCCCCATACAACCTTCTGAACATTCACTGGGACAAGAAATAGATAGTTTTGGCTCTCTGATATTGAAAATGTTTTTAATCGGTGCTCTGTAACCCACATTTATCCCAAATCCATCTACTTTTGCGGAAAAGGATAAGAACCTCCTCACTGAACTATGATGAGGAATTTTTTGGATTCTTTACTAAAGTCTAAAGAATGGGCGTTGCTGTAACTTTTATAAACTAATTTTTGAGTACCTACCATGCATTTTTAATTGGCGACTCTGCTAGTTTTTATAAGAATTTTAAAAAACCCTTTAATATAATTGAGTTGCGAATATGCAGTTTCCTTTTTCTGTTCAACGGAAACGAACTTGTTGATAACCATAAGTTTGTTGGGTTGGCGCAAACAATAATCTGAATCATTAAATGATAACTGAATGTTTTGTATTTGCGTTAGCCACCGTATATGTTTAGCCTTCTAAACATGAGGTTACTTTCCAGGTAAACATGTACTCATACTTATCTTTGTATAGTTTTTCGGCCAACTAACTTGATGTTTTTGCCGTTTTATCTGTTCACAAAATATTTTATTTCACACTCTCCCAGATTACATCTAGATTTACTGATTTGCGTTGATACTTGGAAAAAAAACATTCTTTCAAAGCTGACTAATTGCTTTGTTCCGATTTGGGTCTGCTGATGAGTACCCATCGCTGATTCAGTTAAAGAATCAACTCCTGAGTGTCTTTATTCTTTATAGGATTCAAAGTTTCTTTTTAACTAACATTTATGTCTATGTTAGCTTATATCATTTTTTGTATATTTTCTTCTCAAATAATCAAACAAACAGAATAAGAGATAACGAATTCAATTTGCTACAGTTATCTAAAAAAATGTCCATTCAACTGGATAGTTTAAACGAATCATTATCAAAAGCTGACAATTATCCTGAAGGTTATAATACAAAAGCAGATAAACTGCGTGAACAACTCTTGAATGCAAATAATCGTCTATTACAAATTGAAGAAAGAAATGATGAATTAAATTATACCATAGAAAGCTTGAAAGACGAAAAACGTATGCTACAAAATGAATATAATCGTATGCCTAAAGAAGAGGTAATTGAATGATTTCATTTAAGATGTGGTAAATTTTGAGCATAGGATATATACTAACAAATGGATGATAACTCAGAAAACACAAGTTCATCAGGAGTTAATTATACTCGATGTAATGATTAATTACAATCGTTAGTAAAACATTAAAACATCCCAATCAACTGTTGACATTAAGATACATTTATGATAAGATGAAAGTAGGACTATGAGACATCAGAAAAGTCACTATAATAATGTGAAATAATTTAACACGATTTACTAACTTTGATAAAATGAGAGAGTGTGTTACCACTAATCGAAGAATTATAATCATAGCTTTCAATAATATGTTTGACATTTCTGGTGTGAACTATGGTAATTTAAATGTCACAGGTTGGAGCATATAGATCATTCGTTTGTTAATTTTAGTGTTATTGACCATTGAGAATGCTCAAATGGTACATGTATGTCATTTTGTGGGCTGTAAAACTTGAAAATTCATTATTATCTTTATTTACTGAAACATGGACGTATTACACTGAGTTCTTAGGACCAACAAACGGTGCTTCTAAGAAGATTAGAAATTAGACGTTCAACTATTTTCTGGGAGAATTACGGAAATCTATTAGAAAATTATATACAGTCTACAGTTTACTAGTGAAGAGTAATTAAACACTATTTACTGTGATCGTATTAAAAACGTGAATAGGTCCGTTCGTTCACTTAATCTATAGTTTGAATTAAAAAGATTGTTGATAAGTCAGGTAATTGAAGCAGATATTACATATTGAGTTTGGCTCATAACATGATAGTCACGTTTATGTCTTATTATTATAGAGTAGAGTACAAGATAAATAAATAGAGATTTTCATTAGACACATGGTAGTTTTTTTCGCTCACACTAATATTTTGCACTTGAGCCAAGCCTCCCGTCATTTAGTTAATAAAAGATGATGGATGTAAGAGAGCTGTAACATATAATCAGTTTGTCGTGATATTATCATTTTAGCTGTCAATATAGTGTGTGAAACTTTAGGTGACTTATATATGTACAGTAGAATTGTTGTACCAATATTCTGTTTTCTTTGGTTGATGCAAAGCTTCTCTTCATCAAAAATGTTACTTCCGTTCTATGACATGTAGGGCTAAGTGAAGGGCAAATGAAAAATGTTAATTACTCACTGTTTATATCATTTTGAATTCTAGGGAAAATATGGGTTGTACACTATCCACTATATTTTTCGTATATTATGTATTTTGTAAGAAATAACATAGTTAAGTGTCAAATGACTCTATTTGGTTTTCAGTAAGAAAATTCGTAAATAGTATGCAATCAACTTTCATAAAAATATAGCAGAACAATTTAAACAAAGAAACGTTTATAAAACTAATTGATTACTGAAATCTAACCAAATCCCATATAGGAAATAGAAAACCTGTGAAACAACATAATTCATAAAACTACTCAATGTACATTTTGTTCTTAACTAATAGTATTTGTTGTTTTATAAATAAAAGCCATGATTTTAAAAAGAAACCTAAAAATATTTCTCTGCTTGAATGATTTACTAAAATCTTACGAATAAGTTAGTGCAATTCCATCAAATCCATTGTACCTTAGCTTATTGAAAACTCAAACTATCCTTTTTGATTATTGCATTGTAGAGGCAGTTGTATCTGATTGTGATCGTAAACTGATCAGTGTCAGACCACCACAGAAAAAACTAAAAGCACTAGGCGGTCGTTTCTTTTTTGTGTGAAACTCCACAACATTACGCATCCACAATCTATGATCTTTATCAATAAATTTTCAATTTGATTAAGCTTTTGAATAATGTGTTGTCAGCTATCTGTGTTTATTTATTTTTAATAATTTTGTCGAAAACAGGATGTTATTAACCTGCGAAAACAATTAGAAAAATCTGTTAGTGAAGTGAAAAGCGAAATGAATAAACGATCTGGAGAAACTAGACAATTAACACAAACATTGCAAGATACAAAGGAGATGTTAGGACAAATAAATAAATTGAAGAATGACGCCGAAGAACAATGTCAAAACTTGGTGGTTAGGATTACATCATTACATTTTCTTTCGTCTATAAAAAACTACCAAACCTTATCATGAATTTTTTTATAAAACTGTTTCAATATTTCTCAACTCAATGATAAGTATTCATTTTTTATATAGCAGAATTAATGCGGGCTTAAATTAACAATTATCTGTATGTAGAATAAAAATCGTCATTAGTCATAACATAACTTTAGATATTAATGTTTTGTCATGAGCAAAAATTAGGAGCTCAAGTCAACGGTTTCGCTGTGATGCGTTCCCAAAGTTCGGTAACTTAACCTTGTATTTATCAAAACCGTCACTGAAGCAGTCTTCTTATATTAACATTATATGTAAAGAAACCATCTATGTTTCAGAATGGTTAATTGGATCCACCAGGTTCCATCCTTGTTTTATCTGTTTCGGTTTATACAACGGATTATTACTCTTCATCATTACATATAGAATATGGCTTTAAATTGCTTATCGACTTCTTAAAATACAGTAATCTCTGAGTAACAATGTTGTTAATGCTTAAGAGCGACGGGATGCTTTCTAACAATAAAACACATTCATAACATTATACGTTTCATATGGTTTCGACCAAAACCCAAGAGTGCTGGATGAACGTACATAAGATTACACTTTCTCATATAATTATTCCTTTAACGAAATATGTTATTTCAAAAATTTGTGAGGTTTTGTAAGCAAGACAATTGTAATATTTTAAAACCCTTTTTAGCCACTACAATCGTACGTGGAAACAAAGAACAATAAATGAAAAACTAATTTATTATGGTCTTTCTGAGCAAAAGTTGAAAGTTTAGTGCTACTGTCTATTTTTAAAATATCTTAGACTATTGAAAGTCAAGAATAATGATAAGATGGGGAGAAACGATTAAAGCTATGTATCTGTAGTATGTGTTGTCTACAGATGTATGTATGTATAGTTCAAATGATTATAGCAAACTTTCACAATTAATTATTTAATGACCAATACTTTAAGTTGATAACATTTTGGAATAATTAGGCCTGTTGATAAAGTATCTTGTTAATGTATTGTTTATTTTAGTCAGAAAGCGGAGAAATTCAGTCACAGCTATTACAAACAATGAAAGAAACTGATAAGTTACAAAAACAAAAGGAGTATGTCATTCATTTTACTTGTTTAATTGTTGTTTAAAATGATTGGTCTTAAAATTCAACCTTTTATCACTAAACGTAATAATATTTAGACGTATGAATCAGTGACAAGAAAATAACTGTTGAGTTTTTTCAGAAAAACTGCAAAATCATTAGCGTTTTCTTAATATAATGTAAAACGCAAAGTAGATGTCCACTCATAGAGTCCTTAAGGTGTTTGAAATGACAAAATATCCTAAACCCTAATTCTAAATAATCAACTCTAAATCTAACAAAAATACTAACCCTAATCCCAACTGTAAATCCTTACTAACAACAATACATGGATTCCTTAAAATCTATTAGGGTTGTTTTACATCTATAAAAATGAATTTAGATATGATACGTTTTGTTTACATACAGAACATCATTTATAAGGCTTCAACAAATTAATTAATTACGTGAAATGTGTATAATACTTAACTTTTTCATAACCTACTCATTTACAAAAGTAGTTTCTTGACTAGCTCACAGTCGGCTGGAACTCTCCGAGGTTGTTTTAAACTTATTCCAATAACAAACTTTTACCTTTTTGGTCTCTGTTCACTTGTCGTAAAGGTATTTATACAATATTAAGTTTATTTTTAGAGATAACAAAAATAATATAAATGATATAAGTGAAGATATCATACAAATAATGACGTACTTGGTTAAGATAACTGAACATGTCTTCCTAATCTCGATTATTTCAGTTGAGAATAAAACACGAATAGATAATCTCATCTAATTAAATTTTCATAGAAAGGAAAATCTAAATACACTTGTTTGAAAAGCATACAACACTTGAATTGTTCAACTGAATTGCTCTGCCGACACAGTTCATTTCTTAAGTTTTCTCATATGGCTAGACTTTTAAATAAATATTAGAAAAATCAATGGTCGCAAAAAGATGGAGGGAAATAACATTCGTATAGTTCAATTTAAATTTTACTGAGTAACACGGTATTGGTTTACCTAACATGCTGATGTCCGTTAGCAATAACCTTGGGTCTATAGATATCTGGATACTTTCTGAAGCTGCTTCAAGTCAAGAAAAATTAAACAAAATATTGCTTCGTTTTAATTCGTTAAGATGTTTCAACTTGAAATCATCAAATCAGTTCGAAGTACTAGGTGAATATCCTGTTGTTTAACATTCATTTTAACGTTCTCAGTCCCACATATGGTCAGTTAAGACTGGAATGTGACATTTAAATTGCTCATGAAAAAAGTGCTGGTCCTTATGGGATGTGATCCCACATTTCATTTCCCTTTCTTTCGAATATTTTCATTGACGATTGATATACATGTAATTTTGTTTCATTTTAAGCGAAGTAGAACGTCTAAAAACTGAAACGTCAGATGAACAGTTGAAGTTACAAGATGAAATGAAAACATTAGAATCACTTCGTTTACAACTTGAATTAGAAAGTGTGAAACTACAAAAGTAAATATGTGTCCGTATTTGAAATTTGATTTTATTAATTGTTAAGTCCTAGCGAAGTTTGAATTACCAGTAACTTCTGAGACCTCTTAATGGACTAATATTATCTATGTATTCTTATGGTATAACCATTCAGTAATTAGATTATGTAAATATGTATTGCCCTTAATATAAGCTTTGTTTTGATCTATAGATTATTATTATACAATTTACTGTTACTAAATTATGTTCAGTTTATTGACTGCCGTCTCCCATGTTCACAACCACTTTTTGGCTTTAATGTGTATAAATGTTATTTCCTATTTTATGGTGCGATGCGGTCTGTTTGGCTGGTATATAAACCAAGTATGTCTGTGATAAATGATTCGCATAGTGGAAGCTGGTATTGGTGTTTTGGACTAAGCTGGTGAGCAAAGGACCAATAAGAGCGCTAGGCTGATCCGACTGGTCGAACGTTATTGGTTAGTACAGTACAAGAGTGGATAAGTCGTATTTCGATTGGCGAATAAATTAGGTGATAACTAGCCAGACACAAAGTCACAACATTAATGCTAAGCGGTATTTGTGGTTTCATGAAAACTGATTAACCCTTTTTCTTAAATTTTGTCAATCAATTTTACTTATCTGTTATTAAGTTTGGTTATGCTACCCTTGACATCATATTAGAGGCCGTTTTATTTCGGAACAATTCACTTTAAAAAAACAATAATAACTGAGAATAATTGGACATGGAGCGTAAATTATGTTCGCATATGGATCACGCTATGGAAAATATAATCGAGGTTAATCACACATTGAGTGTGTTTTTGAAGTTCGCGTTCCATAAGCTGTTAGAAGCCCTGATCCATAGAACGTTCTTAGATTTTCGGAGGCATTCATTTACGATGAGTTGCTGTTCAGTACAATTATTCTGTCACTCTCAACATTGACGTTTTATTGGAGACTTTATTTGTGGATGAACTTGTAATGACATATCTAGAACGTACTACTTTTAATCATTAGATATTCTTCTGGCTCATCAAATTATCATGATAGAATCGTTCATTTATTAAACTGAAAACGCATTTTAAGCAACTAACGACCGTTGAGGAAATCGCTCAGGGTATGGAGAATGTTAATAATGAAGTTAAAAATGATATCAGTGGCCGAACTATTTTGTTAACTATATGTAACTTGGAGAATTTCAAAAAGCATATCATTGAATATTTACATCATCTTATTTCAAGACTCAGCGTCCCTGTTTACTGACAGTCACATTGGATTAAAATACGAGAATTTCGAGCCGTAAGGAGGGTACAATATCAGTTATTCACTCATTACTATTCACATATATTTCTTAAATTTACTTTATTTTCTAAATTAAATTATCAAAGTCTCCCTAAAAAAAGGGAATAATCAATTGTGATTCAGTTTAGAAACATGAAAGGAACACACTTTTGAGGAGACAATATTATCACATAAAATACTTGGGGTTAGCTTGATTTTTTCTGCGTATTTCTTGGAAATGGTCTCCACTCATAAAAACTAAGTGTATAGAAAATATTATAAATTATTTTCTATTTTTATAGACTTCCAAATGTTTTCTGATTATGTAATCATGAACAAGCACACTTGATAACTGATTCAGTAATTTGAGAATCGGATAATAATTAAGACATCAACTATTATTCAATTATAAATAAGTAGGATTTATATAATTTTTACTGCTCTAATACAATCCATATGAATTATCTTTATTCTACTGTAGCCAGTCTACTAAAAAACAGAAGAAACTGTATGATTTACAATCGCAGCATGAAGCTGTAAATATGCATGTTTGCCAATTAGAACAGAAAAATACAGAAATGACGCAGCAAAAGTAAATTAAAATTACTTTCATGGTACCATTGGAAATGTAATTATAATGTATATTTTCATGCAGTTATCTACATTGTTATACTAGATGGTTGATGATTAGCAGTAGAAGGGTCTGAACCCATGTTTTGTGTTAGTTGGCCCTCATTGAAAAAGTGCACCTGTAATTTTAGAAAACTGATATTACATGTGAGATTTAAACCTACAAGGCTTGTTTTTATGGTCACAAACTTTAAGACTGAGATATTTGTGTCCAATTTGATCTTTTGTAGGACTGTACAACACAATATATGTGACGTTGAACCGCTTAGATTAATAGACTTATTCAACCCCAAATCACTTAATCGAACCGATGATAGAAAAATTATAAACAAAACTCATGTTATTTCTTAATTTTTCAAGCAGCCTAAATGTAATTATTTCGATAGCAGTTTATTAAAAGTCAAGTATTGGGATATTTTTTGTTTTTCTATGGTATAGTTACGTGCTTGGTGAACAATCCACTATTAATCATTCATATTATTCAAACTATATGAAGTGTTTGTCAGATGTCTTGAAACACAACTACCGGCTTTAACTATTATAAGATTAAAATATTCCAGTGAAATCCCAGTATTATTGTGGTTGGAAAGTTTTTATATGCATTCCCAAGTCAACATATATTTTTCGGATATTGCACCAAGAAACGTAACAAGAACGAAATAGTTGTACGAATTCACGTTATACACAACAGGATATGCATATCATATTGACTTTTGTTATTTGAAAGCTACTAAAAAAGATAGACTGCTGATAAAACCAGACAAATGTTTTAAAGCTTTTCACTAGTCAACTTTGAACATGAAAAATTGTTTTCTCAAACTTCATTGGTACCGCTAATGAAGACTGAATATAAAATTAAAACAGAATAGACTGTTTTTAAATTACCATTTCTTATTTTTTTGTGTTTTTAAATAGAACAGAAGCAGATTTGAAAATGAGCCATTTAAAACAAGAACTTTCACAGTTGAAAGATCATATCAATCAACAAGCACGTTTACGTGATGCATTTATACGTAAAGTTCGTAAAGCTGATAATATACTACAAACATTAAAAGAATCTGTTAAGTTTACAATGAAAACATGTTCTGAAAAGCACATGAATTGTTTGGCTATGAAACAAACTGGTCAAGATACTCAATTATTAAAGAAACGTGCTCAGTTAATTCATGATATAAAGAAGCTTAAAGAAATGTTGCTAAACCAAGTAAGTTCTAAAATAAAATCCAGACAATGAATCACCGTATATATCACACCAGAATTTTAGGCTGATTGGTTTAATTCCATTAGGATTATCTCATAGAATGGAATACATTGGAAGACGACATAAAACCGGTCAGTTATCTTCTGGTTTCGAATGTTTTTTCATCTGGTCCATCTTGAGTACCGTTATCTTTTGGAAAGTAATAGATCAGTGGTCTAAATCTTTTTTCAAAGGCTTTGTGAATACACTGAAAATTTGTATGTCTTATAGGTGCTTAGTTAAGCTTTCATTGCAAATTACATTTCATACTGCTTGATCCTTTCGAATAGGGGATTATTAGCACAGTTTTACACTTAGTCATAAATTGCCACTGTGTAAAGCATAAACCAATATCCATGACCGGTCTATATATTGTATACATTATCACCTAATTGCTATTGCTAGTAACTAAATTTTTATTGAATTTGTTGTAAAAGAGTTCACTGTAAAATAATTTTAGTGAATCTACAAGTTCATGATGTAGTGGTTATCTGAATTTTCCGTTGATTTTATGAACTTTATTCGATCAGTCTCTTTTAACGTTTGTAAATCCTTTTCGAAATGCATTGATATTACCATTTATTTAAAAGCATTTTAAACAGAGATGCATGGTGGCTAGCAGAAGAATCCAGGACACGAGTTTCGTCCTACGTGGGACTCGTCATCCAGATTTAGCTGCATCTCATAGCCGATGTTTAGTCCAAGCTTAGAACCTAGCACATGTGGCATCAAACGCCCAACTTGTTATCCACTTAGTTACTGAGTCAAGATAACCACTGGCTTGTGCGACAAAGTGAACTTTAATTCCTTTCGAACTAGTTGCTGGATTGTTACGTTGATGATATGGACTGAATAAAATGGGGTTCCGGTGTGCAGATAACGGAGGTTCATCCAGCTGATGAGTCTCGAAAAGGACGAAGGGAGTGTCTTTAATTTCACTGCTAGCCACTGTCAAGTTGTGGTTACTCTACAAGTTATTTGAAATATTCTACTCTTCAGTTCAATTATGAGTGTTTAAATGAAAATCATGTTTATCGATAGCAAAACACGTAACTTAAATGAGCCAACCAATCGGTCTTCATACATCTTTTAGTGTCTTATAGAAACTACAAAGAACAAATTCTAAAGTTTATAGACGCCTTAAGTATTAAGAAATTCAAACCTTCTTTGTGTATACAAAACAATTTATATTCTTATGCCCTGTTAATTATCACTTGGAAAAATCTCCAATTAGAACGCCAACTTATATAGCATTGGCACTGTGCCAAACCAATGACGTGTTAATCAGTACGAACAGCCTAGAGTTCCTATCGGTTCTTCTCGCCTAGGCCTGTTCGTTTGAGTTCAGAACACCAATATCAGCTTCCATTGCTTGAATCATATATTTTAGACATACGCAGTCTATATACAAGCAATAAGACCTCAGCGTACCATTAAATAGAAAATAACGATCATACAAGATCAAGCCAAAAGTGGCTATGAGTGTGAGAGACTGTAACTAGTAAATTAAAAATAACTTAAGAATAGGAAATCGTATAAAAACAGTTCAATAAATCAAATGGAAGGTTATAATAAAGGGAATATGAATATACATATAATACAGTTACTTAATGGTTATCCATTAGGAATATATGTAATAATAATCCATGAATAATTGCCTGCAGTAGCCATTTATTTATTCTTCGTTAGGATATAACAATAACCTCGAATCTGGTTCGATAATCTTTAAGTCATCTCCTGACCCGAGGGCGGTATGACTTCTTTTTCTTTCCGTTTTACATAATTTTTCCTCCTCTTTACTTACAATTGTCACTTTATATTTTCTTTGCTTTTTATTTGATCAACATCTATCAGTCTTCATATATTAATTGGTTTCATAAGCACATATTTCATCAGATTGTGCGAAATGTATGGACTAACACATAGAATTTTTCAGATCAATCCTGTTTTCTCATTACACTATCATGAACTTCTATAGGTTACTTAAATGTGTTAATGAGTAGTATATGTGTTATCAAACATTAGATACGAGAATCACTAGATCTCACAAATCAAATCGTAGTAATGTGAACAATGAATGGCAAATTCTATTTATTTTAAGTAAACTTATAAGTAATTAGGCTGGTTTGTTATTAAGTCTGCTAAGTGATTAAATATTAGAATTGCAGTTGTATTAAATGAGTTTCTGAATAAAAAGACATTTTAAAGTTCAAATACTATTAGGTGTTCGATTTTAAAGATATACCTAACAATGTAAATGAATGAATTAAGGAGTTTTATTAGGAGACTTATTTTTTAATTTATTTTTCGCCTTTCTTTTTTTATATCTTAGTGTCAACTTACTGAGCTTGAACAAACTAAACTACGTCAAAGTTTACAGCAAGTAGATCAAATGAATTATGATTTGGCTAATTTGCGTATTGAACTTGTAGAATTGACACGTTTGGTTACTATTAAATCAGATGAGAGAGAACAGAAATCAAGAGATTTTTTAATTGCTCAATCACGATACACTCGTATACAAGATGATATTAAGTCAAAGCAATTGCAAATAAATGAATATGATAAATCACTGAATAGTACACAGGTATTTGTAGAAATTGGTAGTTTTTTTACTGTACATATTATATTCTGGTCTAAATTATGAAGTATTTACCAAACTTTGATTTTATTAAAGCTTTGTTATTTACCTAAATATGCGTTATCCAAGGGCTACACTTATTTTTTTACCATGAAATATTCACAGACTCCAAGAGATAATGTTATGATTGCGATATTCCAATAGCTCAAAAACCGTTTAATGACATTAGGTAATGTAATGTCACTTCACTTGTATTTGGGACTTCTTAGCTGTGGGAACTCCCAATCTCTAAACAAAATAAACTGATGGATATCAGATGAATAACATTGATTCGAACACGTTAATACCAAGACACTAGACTGAAATGAAATTATTCGGAGTTTCGCGAAAGGTCTAAACAACATCCAATTCAATTAACGTGCTTGCACCTCACATCTAGTAAACATCACTCATCTAGTCATGGTCTCTCAAATATTTCGTAAATATTTCTTCCAGTACGTCAATTCACATTTTCATGTATGTGGATTAGCGATGGATCTAACAAATATTTATAAGTCCATAGTTATTTGAATTTTTTCTAGTATATAACTTGTTAAATCCGCCGGATGACCTAGAAAAAATGATTGGGTCACACATAAAATCCCAATTAGAACACTAGGCTTGTCTATAAAAAGCGGTACTAGAATAAATGACAGAAAAATAAATACATTTTAAAAACCATAATTTTTAAGTCACTGAAAGTGTTGAGATGCATCAAAGTACACGTAAGTGAGAAATGCTACTTGAAATATTTATCTAAGAATAATTTACCAAAACCATCGGAAAATCTAAGTAGTGGTTCAAATTCAACACCGACAGATAACAAACATGTGTACTGAGTATGGGAATACTTACAAATAAACAAGTGTTCGATGAAGGCACAGGAATGAAGTTAACTTAGAAAGAATGTTAAAACAATACAATTATATTATTAAATGCATTGAATGTTGCGAATTCATGTCACATAACGAAGAGACTATACGCTTTACATTCAAAAATGATTGATAACTGTTATAACGCTTGGTTTTACTTCGTCTAATGTTATAACGGTTGGGTTTTCACGTTCACACGAGTGCGACTTTAATTTACCTTAAACGAATATCTACACTAGATTCCCTCCCACTATCTATTCTACAGGACTTCAACACAACTCAGATCACGAACACGTGATTAGCCTGACTAAACCGTAAATATATTTTCACACCAAAACCTGACACAATCCAACAACAATGAACAATCAATAATAAGTGATAATAATAATAAGGATGGGGGAATATATAACTCATTTGACACCTGTCAGACTATCTCCATGTCTGACTAAGCACACAACCGATCATTATCATTCTCGCCCACACATCAATAACTTACTAAATATGTGCAAGTAACCTAGTATCTGCTGAAAGAAGAGTCAACCTACCATAAAATGAAGGTGAGAAAATCAAGTAGAATTGGCATATTTGAAATCTTTATTTCTGTAAATCTTTTTGAAAAGCGCATAAAATCGGTTAAATGATTCATTGTAGAAAGATTCTCATTAATAGGTTACCATATTTGCAGTAGAAGAGCAGTAAAAGTAAACAGTAATAGAAATTGAAGAAAAAAATGATACTTTTGCAAGAACTAGATAAATAATATGCTGCTTACGCTCAGTGGCTGGCTATTGATATATATTTTCAAGTCGATAGATTTTGTTAGATAGTGGATATACTACTGCTTAACCTACTTTCAACCTTTCTATTAGGTTATACTCTTGAAAGAGGCTATTATTTTATTTACGGTAGATAAATGAAATCATCAACACATAACTGTAACACTAGTTATTTAGTCAGTTTTTTAGTATAGAATTGTAGCTGACCTTGAATCTAGGAAAGTACTTGAATGCAGTTCATTTAATGAGCTGATAAATACTTTTTTTTACAATAATTTATGTAAAACATAAATCCTGTCACTAATGTACATCAATCCATGTCGACACATATCTCATCACCAGTCAACGATTCAATTCAAAGAATGAAAGAAGATGAAAATTAGTAAGTATAATGTAAAGAACTATGCATATAAGTTTAATTCAAAAAGATCAAACAAAAAGTATTATGAGTATAAAAATGAAGATAGAAATAGAGATATTATAGATTTATATCGCTGAAAATGATAGTAGGTTATCCTATAGTGTCTAGTATTATATCAAGCCATTGTCGGTTATTCTAGCTTCTAGATAGATCGATTTAATCATACATTTTGAGCCACATTTTTACCTTGTTCATTATTCGCTTATTAACCTTGACTGCTTTTATATTAGTGCATGCGTATGTAGTGCTTATCCTACTCATCACATGCCTGTAGCTTATTTTTGTCTGACCATAAATATGAAATCTCTCATTATCAAAATGTGTTTGCTCACTCACCTTCTCTGCTTTGCTTTGATTCCCCATTTTTCATTTTGAATATCTGTGCATATTCAAAATTCATTTTCGTATTTGACATATTTTATTCTGTTATTCATTAACGATGGTAGTCGGGATGTTTATATCGATAACATTATCGTACGATCTAATTGAAGTCGGACTAAGGGGGCAACATAAATTCTATAGAAATATAAAAAACGGTGTATTATTTATTCATTCTATTTAAAATCTCTTATTATCATTAATTACAATCCCTTTTATACTAAGTTTATATAAATTTTCTATAAAACTATATTTTATTCAGAAAAAATTAAAAGATTTCGCTCATTTATATGAAGCAATTAAAGAAGAACGTAATAATTGTTTAAGTTCTATTCAATTATCAAATCAACATATACAAGAATTAAGTGAAAAACTACGTATATCTGCAAATGAAATAGACATTTTAAAGAACAATTTAGTTCACAAAGAAGAACTAACAAATAAACAACGAAAAAATATTGAAAAAGTTATTGCAGCTCGTGATCTGTTACGTAATGAATTTTCAAAATTGGTACGTTTTTTAAAAAAAATGTTTCTAAGCCGTACATGTATGCATTTTATGTGATTTGAGTCTCATTTGTTTTTTAATTGTTCATTATTTTTGTGGAGTTACAATGCAGAGATTTAATAAATTGATTTCCATTCAATCGATGTCAATTTTGAAACTATCTTTCTTTAGTTCAGTCCAAGAAGGAGGTTGGTGCCTCATTACTCATACGTATTAAATTTTGAACAAAACCTGTTGACTACTGGATTGGATTACGAAATTTCGATGAGTAACCTAGTTGTAGTGTTGATCTTGGGTAATAATTAAGATCCTGGAGTATGTACTTGAAGTAGATTACATGAGGTGATTTATCTTTATGAATTGAACCTGTTCTTGCCAAAAATAACATCTGCTTAATAATAATAAATGTTTTTGTCTACAATATGGACTGATTTTGAATAGCCATTAAAAACCAGAAAGTACTGGGGGAACCATTTCGTTCTAATTTAAGACACTAGCAGTTTGCATCCACAATACTACTAGCGTTCAAATCCGAAATCTTCAGGCTCCGTGATAGGTATTTAATTTTTATATTAATAGGCTGTCATAAAATAGTTTGTGTTATCACATGCGATCTCTGAAAACAGTTACTGAAACACAGACTTCCTATGTACTAGCCCTCAACCGGCAACTGAATAGGAAGACTAAAAGTGCCAAGAAATTTTATTGGGCTAAACCAAGTAAAATCCATAAGCACACATTTATATGTGTCTTCTCCTTAGAAAATAAAACTTCTTCGTCAACCACATGCACTTATCATTAGGAGTTTTTTCATTGATAGAATATGGCTTTTTCACTTGCAAACTTTTGACCGGCCCATTTTGTCAGTTTGCACATTTACCCTCAGCCAATTTACTATATTGTGTAACCATTATCCACTACCATTATTATTTATTTGCTTATTTTTTCATTATTCGTTTGTGTAGAGTTGTACTATTAAAGATAATGAAGAGCAAAAGGAACGAATGAAACAATCAATCCATAGGCAAAATACAATAATTACACAAACAACGAAACAAATAGAAAACTTAAAAAATGCTATAGGTCATGTGATTAAAGTACGCAACTCTCAAGCCATTGAAATGGTTGAACGTAATGAAGAATTCTGTGTTCTACAGGTAAAACATTTTGTATTCACTTGAGCTACAAGTATATAGTCAGAAGAAGAAAACATACTGTCTTTAATAGGTTTTTATCAAATGTTCCTCGTTCATTGGTTGTTTAGTTACTCAGTTTGTTATCCTTAAATAACTTTTAAGTACAGTTCACTTGATTGAATCGAGCAGATAAATTATGGTTGTCGATGTCATTTTTCCATAAGTGGTTCCTTCCATTTAAAAATTGTAGTGTTGTCTGATTCAGATAGGAGTAGTCTTTAGTAGTATATTCTACATCTTCTAAAACGGTCCGTTCTAGAAACGCTGTTTTCATTTCACTTATCTTCAAGTGTTTCGTTGTTTTCGTCTAATATCATCTACAAAACACATTGAAGCACAAATTTAAGAAATGCTACATCCGAAACCCTAAACCGACATATCCATGGGCATAAATAGAATGGAATTTTTTAAATTAAATCTCAATTTATTTAAAGTTACTCGAAATAAACTTTCTGCAAATTACAAATGTCTATTCACAAAACTAATTCCTCACTTAAACCACGTATAAATTTGATCATACTATCATAGTTTCAGGTTTATTAATCCTATTGCGTAATTTTTAAGAAAGAATTCGGTAAGTTTTTAGGACAAAAGCATTAGTTATTATCCAAAACTTAGTTTATTTTGCAATATGTTGATGGAGGTGTAGAAAGATGTCGACTAAAACTTAAGTCTAGAAACAAGCACCAAACTTTATATGGTTAAATATCCTTCTGTTCTCAGTTTACTTGTACACTAGATGAAAGCAATTTTCTAAATAACTGATATAAACCAATTCTATCAGAATATAGTTTATTTCTTTTCGATCCGTAGTGTGAAATCCTAGCGAAGATTACATTATTAGTAACTTCCGAGACCTAATAATGAACTAATATTATCTATATATTCTTATGGTATAATTATTCAGTAATTAGATTGTATATATTTATATTCATCTTATTATAAGCTTCATTTTGACTCATAATTTATTAGTATACGATTTACTGTTTCTAAGTTATACTCAGTTTATTAATTACTGTCTCGCACGTTCACAACCACTTTTTGGCTTATTTGTGTATGAATGTCATTTTCTGTTTCACGGTGTGTTGCGATCTGTTTGGTTGATATATGTCTGTAATAAATGATTCGCATAGTGGAAGCTGGTATTGGTGTTCTGGACTCAGCTGGACGGGCTAGGCGAACATCGGACCAATAAGGACGCTAGGCTGCTCATACTGCTCGAACGTCATTGGTTTAGCACAGTCTGAAGATTGTATAAGTCGTATTTCGACTGGTGGGTAAATCATGTGATAAGTAGTCGAAATTTAAGTCATAACACGTAGATCTTAACTTTTTAAAAACAAGTTTTCTTATTAATTTTTGTTTTCTTTTAAAAACAAGGAAAAATTAAATCTACAAAATTCCACGCTTAATGAAGGTGAAATTGAAATGAATAAATTAGAAGATGAAATAAAAAGTTTACAATTAATCAAAAATGATTTAAAAAGAAAAAATGAATTATTGAAAAAAGAAGGTAAAGAAAAAGAAAAGTTACAAAATGAAATTCTGTCTAGTCAGTTACAGGTAATTTTATTATTTTAGTTTTTTTGGGGAGGGGGAATAATGGATCGATACATTTGATTTCTCTTATGGTTTTTGATTGTAATATTTAGTTTGTCATTGGTCAATCAAATAATTTCATCATTTATAACTTATCCTAGAATATAGTGTAATCATATTCTTTCTGGCTTTTGAAGTTAATTTTAATAGAACACAAAAGCACTCGTAATTAATTGTTATGGGTTAATTAAATTAAGTGACATGTTACAAGTTTTAATATAATATAGTCATTATCAGTTTAGGGGTTGTGGAGATTAAGTTTTTTGGATTGAGATCATGAACCGATTGATGTTAGACCACCATTGAAAACCTGGAAGCACTGGACGGTCGTTTCGTCTTATTGTGGGACTTCTCAGCAGTGCGCATCCACGATCCTGTTAGCAGGACTCGAAGCCAGGGCCTTCAGTCTCGCGCACGAACGCTTAACCTACTAGACCACTGAGCCGGCACCCGCTCTGGGTTCGAATCCCGCAAGCAAGATCGTGGATGCGCACTACTGAGGAGTCCTACAATAAGACGAAACGATCGTCCAGTGCTTTCAGGTTTTCAATGGTGTTCTAACATCAATCGGTTCATGATCTCAATCGAAAAATAATATAATCATATTTCACTTTGTCCTAATGTTGATAAAACACTAAAGCCGATGTAAAACAAATAGGATAATCTAGGTTTCAACATATAATTCACTGACTTGAGTAATTGCATTTCTTTACGACACAGATAGTAAGAACTAACAATGTGAGGTGGAATTGTCTTTAAGTTATCATAATCGATTCTTGGCCGCTGTACGTTAAGTTCGTTAGCCGATTAGTTTTAAAATGTCGTAGATCTCAGCCGGTAAGCCTAAATTTTGTTATCTATTGAATACTTAAATATTTGTTGCAGAGCTATTGAACATAAACAGTATACCATGTAGTAAACGTTTTCTGAGGCCTTTGATAACTAAACATATATAGAGAATTTAAACTATTCTACGAAGAATTTGTAATTGAAATTTCAATCTGTAAAATAATTTATCTAAGCATATGATTGTACAGCTTTTTCATCTCGTCAGCTATACACTACTGAAGATTTTTGTGCAGAATGTACCGCATAATGAAATGAAACTAAATTTTATAGCAGTCTTGAAATTTCAAATCATGTTTAAATTCCAATGTTTTTGAAAATTTATTTATTTGTTTTGTTGTTAAGACATGATGGATTAGACTGTACATTAATTAGATATAAAATTATAGAAACTATCCTACAAACAATTACGATTATTATGAATTTTGGTTAAACCCTTTTATTAACTTGCTTAACAGACAATGCTATTTGAACACTAACCATTCGCATATTTCTTTGTACTGTTATGATCACTAGATTAAATGACAGACTATAGCTAAGATGTTGGTCGCTTAAATATCACTCGATGATTCATTCTCCTCCCCATGTAAATAAGTACTCGAATCCTATCATTGACTTTCGCTTTACATTGCTGTTCCCATATGTAACCTGACTATAAATTTGCATATGGTATTGCTCACATAAACTTATTTGCCTTCCACTTCAAATTCATTCGATGTGCTTATAACATGGTGATCTGCGCTAGCCGCTAATAAACTATAGTTGCCGCTTCTTATAGTCATCTGATTTCAAACACCATTGAGGTTTATATAATAACCTGTTACGAGGGTGATTGATAAACGAAGCAAAGCCACTACATAATAATAATAATAATAATAATAATAATAATAATAATAATGACAGTGATAAATTTTTCCGAGTTTAATTTTTTACATTTTTTCTTCATTTTTTTAGTTGGCTGTATGTCAAAATCGTGTAGCAAAGTTAGAAAAAACCGCAATTTCACCGAAAGCATTTTTATTGGATAATGAAACTGGTGTTCCAATTAAAAAAGATTTAATTAAATGTAAAAATCAAATGAATAATACTAATATAATTATATATGAATCACGTTTAAATGAATTAAATGGTAAAAATGAAGATACAGCTGAATTAAGATGTAAAATTGATAAACTTGAAATTCAAATATTTTCTCGTGAAAAAAAACTATTAGAATTAAATTTATTATTAGATGCAATTAAATGTTTAATAAATAAACTTGAAAAACAAGTGAATATGGGCAAGTAAGTTGAAAAGTTATAAAATTAAAATGATTAATATTACTTATTTAGTTTGCAATATTATATAATATTCGTCATTTTCTAAAGATTTTTCAACATACTTTAGGTAAATAAATTAATCTATTTGTAATAGTAGAGTAGAGTAGAAAAATTAAATTTTCTGATGGTTTGTAACTTAGTGTAAGTCACTTCTTCAAAGAATAAATAACAACAAGAATATTCTTGTTTTTCTGTTGTATTATTTTAAATTGAATTAATTTTGATTTGATTATTTATTTATTCTCTGAAGAAGTGGCTTGCACTAAGTTACGAAACGTCAGATAATCTAATTTTTCTACTCATTGCGATATTGCAAATATATTATTAATTTATAGCAATCTACTCAATGCTCAATTTATTAGAAATTATCAAGTCAAGCTTTGGTAATGATACCTATATATTTTAGGTAGTTATTTATATTAATTGAGCTATGTGAAGAGATGAAATTAGTTAACTAGTTGAAGGAATAGAACTAATACCATATAGTTCATTTGAAGATATTTTCTTCCTCGTAAATGATTATCATAAAGTACAATTAACTTGCAGTTAAATGTTTCATATGTTTGTGTATTTATAAATGTGAATGGTAAGTATAAATCTTTGAGATGCGATAAACCTAATAAATCTTTTTCTTTGTTGAAGCACATTATATCTTTGGTCTACATTCAAAATATGTCATATTTTGTAATTCAGAGTTCATATACCTAAACGGAAGTATAATAACAACTTATTTTGTTGATAGCAGACACAGGAGTCATTAAAATTAAGAATAAGATAGGTTTTCAATCATTATCTTTCTAGATAACTTAACTCTCTTTTGATTTAGTTGATTAGTTGGACATATAACTAATTTAGTGGTAAAAATATATGTTTAAATTATCACCGTTTTTGCATCTAGTACGAGTTAAAAGCAATAAAATAAAAAATCAAAGAAATTTTTATCGTAATATGGACATTATCAAAGACTTAAAACAAATATCATGTAGGAACAGATTAAACTGAGGAGAAAAAAGGTGTTACGTAATTCGGTGTTCAAAATTCATAATGAAAGAGTTACATCAACATTAATGAACCCGATTTCCAATGGTTTAATATAGAAGCATTTTACCATTTACGACTGTTAATCTAAACTAGGAATGCTTCACTTTGTTAATTAGCTTCTGCCTGTAGTGGCTGGGTTATTCTAGCTTCCAGATAGACCAATTTATTCATTCTTCTTGAGTCACATTTTGATCTTGTCAATTATTCGCTTATTAACCTTCACTTTTCATATGAGTGTGTGTGTTAACCATTGACTACCCCACTAAATAAATAAATCAGCGGTACAGTTTCTAATGAACTACATAGACAATGTACATTGAATTTTGAAAAAGCATGCCAGTGATGTTAATGTTACGATCTAGCCTGATTTTTTAGTCCCAATAAGCCTTCAGTATGGCACGTAGGCCTACGTCAATTATTCTCAATTACTCAACGTCTGCCCCGAAATGACTGTTTAAATTTTTCGGTCACTAAGTTGGTCGCTCAGCTAATTAGGTATTTGTTAATCTTATAAATGATTTTTTATATGTATCTTTTTGGGAAACGGAAAAATCAAACGATTTTTGGCCACATTATTTATTTGACAGTCAAATGTTAATTGAAAAATTCCCATATTGTAATTTAGAACAACATATATGAGCGAACAATATTGTTTTCGATTAGATCCTCATCAGGCTTTATTCTAATATACAGTACTATTTATACGCATATACGAAATCACTAAACTAAACTAGTTTATGAGTCAATGATAACAATGAAAAAGATTACGCAAATAAACATAGGAAGTGAAAAGTACAAATTGATAGTATGATTTCGTATGTGCATATAAATATTATTGTATATTAGAGTAAAGCCTGGTGAGGATCTAATCGAAAACAATATTGTTCGCTTATATATGTTGTTCTATATAATAATTAAGCGTCAACTATTTAAGGTGAAATTTGATTATTTTCAGAGATGTAGCACTAACATTGGCTGTTAAGACGAATGAACAGAAAGGTACAACTGTTCAAACTACAAAACGTTTAAAAGCAACAACAGCTGAATTAACTATGTTAATGACTACAGCATTTGAACTTGAACAACAAGTAAAGGTAACTTAAATATATTGTTTATTTTTTTTAAATATTATCCGGTGACGATTTGATTTTATATAAAAACAACTAGCCGCTTCATGAAAAGCCAATTACAGATAATAAACTGAAAATCTTTCTAATGTGATTTGTTCCAATTCACACAATAACAAAGAGTAGCTATTTATATGAAGTTCTTTTCTTATCGTCTGCTAACAGCAGAGCAGTTAAGTGATTTTAATAAATATGTAAATAATGACAAAAGTGGTTGCATAGTATCAGCTACCGTGCATTCTTTGGACGATATTTTGGAAATTTCTTCATAATCTCACAGTCGTCTTATGGTTTGACATCATCTTGGAAAACTGTATTATTGTTATTTGCTTTTAAACTTCATCACTTTTACTACTGACTGAACGTTTGGGGTGTTATTGAATCGTATAGCACTTTTGAAATATGAAAACAATATACTGAATACACCATTTGCAAAACTTCCTTGAATTATCATTAGCGATCTCCACTGTTCTTTCGTCCCCGTTTTCACCACAACTGCTTTTATTTTCCTTTCTTCTTTCCCCATTTTCCTCCTTCGTCAGTAAGACTCCGACTTCTAATTTCTGATGTATACTATTTATATCTGCCGTATAAGTAGCACACACTACGGTATCACCACTTTTTCTGAACTGTTTTCACTATGCATTGTCTTACAATATATATTAACCACCACATAGCTTCGTGAAACTGATTGTTTGCATTGTCACATGAATAACCTAATATACTTGGGTCTGCATGAGCAAATCCATTAACTGTTGCTTAACTACAAACATACAGCCTTTGGTATGTTTTTTGTATTACCTATATCGAGTTTGGAACTTCCAATTTATTTAAAAGGACTTATGTTTATAGGACAGCAATCACTTAAATGCATTTTTTTGATTTGAAATAAAGTAAGTTTCATTTATGCCAGTCGTTTCATATTTTTTTGCTGTCATCCAAGGCAAATTTTAGTCTGTGTAAACCATATCTTGATATACCGAATTTACATTCGATTAATATCTAAATAATAGCAAACGGTAGCAATAAGTACAAGACATTTTTTAGCTTTAACAAGTGGCAATGGTTGTCTATAATAACATTTATATAGGGCTGTGCTATCCAGGTTTAGTTCACTTTTGCCTTAATATATAACACCTATATTCTGCGACAGTATTTATTCAGACCCTAAAAGGTCTGAAATTTGGCCAAAGGTTTTTTAAACTAGTTAAGACGTTTATCACATTTACCCTAATTTATTTTCGTTATTTTAATATTTAATTAGGAACTAAAGCTTGACAACTAATTTTTCATCATTACTGAATGCCTTTTTTGTATTTAAAGGAACGTCGAACTTTTCTTAAAGAGTGTTATCAACGCATGGAGGCCGGGAATCCTCCTACAGATGATGTTATTGAAGAATTAGAAAAATATAATAGAATAGACCAGTGGAAATCTGAAAGAGCAAGAATTTCAAAGGTATGTTTTAATTTTCAAACGTAAGTGGTGAAGAATTTTGTGACATTCGTAAATTAAGTCATAAAAGCCTTCAAACGTTTATATCTAAATATGTCAGTGTTTACATTTATACATGTGTAAATAAATGTCTGATTTTTGTAGAAATAATTCAATTAAGATGTGCTCATAATTTTATACCGTAATAAATCTCTAAATGATCGTAATAGTGTTTACAAATTAGCAGGTCATTCAATTATGACGAAATTAACTTCATGGATATAATATCTTTCTCAAACTTAAGTTTAAGTTATTAGGGAACTGCGATTCACTAGACTGTAAGTGAATCTTGATGACGTTTAGAATCTGCATATCAATGTACGGCAATAAGCTGAGTTAAAATAAGGATGCTTATGTTATTTACATCTTCAAGGTCAACTAATTTATTCACGCATAAACATATGCAGCTACTAAAAGGCTGTAGGGGGTTGATATTCGTGCAGAATAAATTGTTTAGCCTCCTATCTTTGCACAGAACAAACGATAATTAAGTTCTAAAAAACCATGAAATATTTTAAGACAGTGAATATACTTAAACATATTGAAGGAATTATTTCAATTTCTCCGGATAAATTCAAGGTAGGCACTTTATATTTAGATGAAAATTGTTTTCTTTTTTCCATCCGGTACTCAGAAATATTTATTGCTGACATATAAAACAAGTGTTTAACTCATTGAATTAAATTATTTTATTAAGTATGGGAACTACATCCAATGAATACAAATATTACTTTTGTTCTATTCAGTGTAATAGATAAAATTGAATTACTCTAAGTTCCTTCAGTTGGAATATAATTCAAACACGAAAAATTCACTTTTTTCAACACCATTTTTCCTACTTTAGGCTTTAGAACTAGATGACTACTGGACTACAGCTCCGGAAAGACCTAACGCCTACCTGATTTATCGTAATGTATCAAACAAATCCTATGAGAACCCACCAAATACAGCCCCCAATCCTGGTAGTTCAGATGATCAAATGTCTAGTCCAAAAACAAACTCAGTTTTGATACCATATGGAGCTCATGCACCATTCCGACCTAATGATCCTAGTTCACATATGCGTCATTTTCGAAAACCAGAGTTGAAACCCGTTGATACCTAAAATGTGTTTTTTCTTTTAATCAGTCTACTTCATAGATATTTTAGTAAATTATGCTACTGTATCATTTATTTTCGTTGTCTGTACTCCATTATTTAAAATATATTGTTTATTTAAAAGTTGGGTTGTTATACAAATGTCCCATTAAATTTAAGTAAATCAAAAAATTCACACGAATGGCTGGTAACAACCGCTTAGTAATGGTTCGCCAAATCAGCGCAATAATGTTCATAAAGCATTCTTTTTCTCTGCTGTTCTCAATTAAATTGGTCCTCAGTCTCTACATTAAATAGTCTGCAGACATAACTCCATTTTTAACAGTTCTCTTTGAAGACCATGGAACAATTTTGACTGCCTACCATACAAAGGTTAGAGATAGAAAATAGATTTCTAGTCTTTGCAACGTTCTTTAGTAAGCTAAACTCCTTTATGCAACCAATTTTGTCCACTATAAAACAAAGGAAGTTTTGGAATTAAAAGTAATGTATACACTAATTAGTATCTGATTCCTCAGTTTTAAAGCTCTTTTGTTATCAAGGTACATGGTCTGTTTTCTTTCAAAGTACGATTTACCATGAAACGACCAATTTAGTAAATTACTTACTCATAATCGTTAATACGTGAATTATTTTAAGAAGAATGTTCAGTTATCCGAATTTTTATTAAAGGAATGATGCCAACGCAAACGATAAATATCTGAATAGCTTGTAATGATATTTTGTCCTGTTATAGCTTATCTTCATACAAGGTTAACAAAGTCGGAATAAATGAATCAACGTATATCTATTTAATTATATGCAATATACCCAGGTTTATCATTCATGTTAAAACACCACTCTTATAGATTGTTTAATTTTATTATTGGCCTTGAAACGCATTCAACATTATTTTGATCATGTATTAAACAATTTAAGTTCTGAATAATATTTTGTTTATTAAACGCACCACGTACATATTATAATTACTGTCATTTTTTACTTGTTTTACACCAAAGCACTAAGGAAATTCATTTCAACTATGCATTTTATTATTGGAAAGTGTAAACAATGCTTCTTTAGAAAGCGATTTCATAGAAACAACAAACAAAGCTTTTAGAAATTCAGTAGCGAAAAGTTATTCAACGAAATGTTTAAGATCTTTGATATATGAATCAATTTAACAAATAATATTATCTGTTTAATTTCAATGAATGCATTACTTCAAAAGCATTAGGTTTTTCAACGCCTATAATAATGATTAAAGGTGATGGATTGTTATAACTAATCTGTTCAGTCCAAAAATAAACCTAAAAAATAAAAGTAATTTTTAGCATGAATTGGTTCAGTTATTGCCATTTTTATTCGTTATTAACTATTTAACCGAATAAATAAATTTAGTTTGGTCAATCTAAAAATAAAACGTAAATTAGACTGGTTTCATGGAAAGAGAATTTGAACAACATATATTTCTCACTTATGTAATTATTATGGTGCTTGAATAAGACTCTGGATTATTTCACAAACTGTAAACTCGAGCAACTAGTCGATAGGTTAATGAACTGACACCAACATGTAAGATCAGTTATTTGTAGTCGGAATTCACGATATTAAATTTACTGTCCAGGGCGTTCGGTTAGAAATTTGCTACAATTATAGTGAATCAAATATTTACTCAAAATTTACTCAACAAATACTGATGGCTTCTGATACTATAAATAAATAAATACATTGATCTATGGTTGTATTAACTATGTGAAACCATTAGAACTGGAAACTGGGCTTTCCTTACCAGATTAAAAATGCTATATTATTCAAAACAGTCCTTTATAATAAAATATTTTGAAATAATTCAGCTACTTCAAACCAAATATTGTAACACATAAAAAAGTATTAAACCAACCTTAAATCTTCTTAGACAGAACTCCCACTTCAAACGAACTCGCTTTTCCAATGGTAAATGTAGAAATTCTTCGACATTGCATCCTAAAAGTTTTTCCATTGCAATACTGGCTAAAAGACATCTAGAATATGTTCCTGTATGGTCTGATAGATGAACAAATGTACCGTATTCCATCTGTAGAGAAGTTTCAAGATTCATGGGGGAAATTATTTATTTGTACAGTTTTGTATGGGGCATTATCCCTATCTAATATTGTCTATGTGTCATCACATGCGATTAAATCTATATGGAAAGTATAGGAAGGACAATCAAAGTAACGAAGCTCAAAAACTCTAAACAGAGAGCTTGAAAAGTTCCCTTCGATTTTAAAGTTGGTATTTGTAAGCCTTGTAGTAAGCTAAAAAGCAGATCTGAGTCCACAACCCAGATTGATTATTGGCAACAGAATAACATTTTTGCTAATATCGGCATCATGGGTGTTCAAAACAAATCAGCTCTATTTAAAGAGTGTTAATTTGATCAAGTCATATATTTTGAGTTGACAGAAAAATGTTCATTTTTGATGATAATTCATTTAATGGTGTTGTGTTAATAATTTTAAATGCCCAAATTCAAATAATCTTTCTTTCAATTGGAGTCTGAAACGAAGAAATATTGACTGAACCTGCCCTTTTATGTGAGTTTTCATTTCTAACTACATCGAGATTTTAATCAAACAAGTTCGTCATCGTATTCCGGATATTTGGTTGTAGAACGATGTAGAAAAATTTACACAAAACCTTCAGGCCTTTAGTTTCTTGTTAATATAGTCCTTTGTATTCTTGAGAGACATTTAATTTCGTTTGTGATGCTTTAAGAATGATAACTTGAGGCATACTCTTGTACTTCAAACACTTATCAGGATAAATTCCATCACACAGTTTCAATGTTAGTGACAATTGTGTCAGCAGACAACGAATACTTCGTCTTCTAGTTTAGATAATATTGGTGTTCTTTGTGTTATAAATCTGCTCAGTAGACTTGTTAAAAGAACACATAACTTGATTAGCTTTTTGAAAGTATTTAACAATATTTAAAATGTTTCCTATAACTTGCCTAGTTTTATACTGCCGATATGTTTTGTATAGTTTACTGAATCCCATTGAGACGAAAAAATGATTGCATCTTTTATTCTCAGTTTTACTAATCGTAATCAACTTTTAACTACTTTGCCAAACTCAACAAGCGAGTAAATTTTTAGCCAACCGCATTACTAATAAAAAATCGTTTATAGGTGTTTAGTACAAAGAAGGCTGATTATCTTTCCGAACTTCATTTACGATTTTTTCTCAGAGTACGATTTTTCCTATGAGAGACAACCGCTGCCTGAAACCTTTAGTTATAATGGGGTCTAATCTTTACTAAAAATGCTAAGAATTAAGTGGAATGTTAAAAAATTATTAGTTTCGCATGACTGAAGCAAAAGTGGTTAGCTGGGCTAAACTATTTGTGGTGGTTTTTGAGACAAAATCTTTCATTTCAATTCATAAGGCTTGATTCGTTTGGGTTCCGAATAATTTCTTCTGTTTCCCTTACATATTTGATAGAATCTTTATTCAACAAAGCCATAAAACGAAAGAATTACTCATTAACTGTAAATAATTTAGTATTATCAAAGAAATTCTACTCACATTTACGTGTTGTTTATCAAACCAAGACAGTCTTTGTCCACTTGTCGGACAACCTGGAGTGGTGCACATTGCAAACATACATTTAATATTTGGGTCAAATTTTTTTCCAGGTGCTGTCACATCATAGTCTGCTGGCGGATCACATGACCTCAAACGACCATGACAATTAGAGCATTGCAGTGTTATGAGGTATTGTGAATTTTCACAGTCCAAATCGATTTTCGTAAACACGGCAAATGTACAAGCGTATCCAGCGACAACTAAGAAAATATTTCAAAACTTATTTTTGAGTGAACATGAAAATAATTTCAAATGATCGAGCTGTATTAGACGCTCAGGTCTTACTGAGACAGAAAAAGTTTTAGTTTCGTTTGTATACATAGTAAGAACTATTTCACTAGTTTTGAATCAGTTATTAAAACTATTTTTGTATAAAAGTAAGTAATTCATTATTAATCTCGGAAGAAAACAATATTAACCAGGTGTAATAGACAAAAATATTTTAAACTCCTAAATTCCACTATATTGTGGCTCCAAACAACTTTATCCCTAATGTTTTTGCTAAGTAAATATATACTTAGTTTGTTCCGATGGTATTATGACTGTCTGCCATAAATAAGCCTTGTCAGAACTTCTCATCCAATTATTCTATTTACTTACTTACTTATGCCTGTAACCCCTCGTGTAAAAGCATACGCCACCCACCAGCATTCTCCAGAGAACTCTGTCTTGGGCAATCCTCTCCAGTTCTTTCCAGTTGCTACTCATCCTTTTCATGTCCGCTTCCAACTCTCGATGTGGTGTGTTCCTTGGTTTTTCTCTTCTTTTCCCTTCAGGATATCAAGTTAGCGCTCGCCTCGTTATGCAGTATGATGATTTCCGCAATATATTTCCTAGTCACATGCGACGTCTTTTCCTAATTTCCTCTTCATCTGGAAGTCAGCCTGTTCTCTCTCATAGTAGGTTGTTGCTGACGGTCTCTGGCCAACGGACATTGAGTATCTTGTGTAGACAACTGTTTATAAATACTTGTACCTTTTTGATGATAGTTGTGTTAGTTCTCCAAGTTTCAGATCCGTACAACAAAACCGCCTTGACGCTCGTATTGAAGACTATGACTGATATTTGTTGACAGTTGTTTTGAGTTCTCTATATTTTTCGACTGTAGAAACGCTGCCCTTGCCTTATCAATCCTTGCTTTCAAGTCTGCATCAGATCCTCCTTGTTCATCGATGATGCTGACCAGGTGCGTGAAGGTTCCCAACTCTTCTAGAGTTTCTCCATCAAGCATAATTGGGTTTGTGTTCTACGTGTTGTATTTGAGGATCTTGCTCTTGCCCATGTGTGTGTTCAGGCCTACTGATGCAGAGGCTGTTGCTACACCGGCTGTCTTCATCCACATTTGTTGGTGTGTATAGAATATAAGGGACATGTCATTTACAAAGTCAGTATCATCCAGTTTCAAACAAGTTATCCACTGTATTTCTTGTCTCCCTCAGATATGGGGTTTTTCATAATCCAGTCGACAACTGTAAGAAAGAGAGTAAGCAGCCTAGTCTAACTCCGGTGCGCACTCGGAATGTGTCTGTCAGCTATCCTCTACTCAATGTAGTCCATCGTGTGGATTGCGGATGGTGTCGACGATCTTTTCTGGTACTCCATAATGTCAACGAAGGTTCCATAAGGTTCTCCTATCCACGTTGTCGAATGCTTTCTCATAGTCAAGCTAATCGTCTACCGAGTCATTCATTCGGTTCAGCAACGCTTCGTCTAAAGTGTTTCCTAGTACCGATAGTAGTGTGATATCTCTGTAGTTCTCACAACTGCTAAGATTTTCTTTCTTTGGTAACTTAATAAGATATCTTTCTTCCCAGTCTGTCGTCATTTGTTCCTCCTCCTTCCAAATCTTTTTGAATAGAACGTGGAGTATGTGTGCAGTTACTCCTGTGTCTGACTTCCGTGCTTCAGCTAGTATATTGTCAAGTCCAGCTGCTTTCCCCATCTTGATTTGTCTGATGACCATTCTAATTTCTCCGATCGTTGGTGGAGTGACATCTACAGAGAAGTCTGTAAGTACTTCTTTAATGTCCAGTGAATTTAATGAAGCTGGCCTATTCGACAGTTCTTCTATGTGTTCTACTCACTTGTTCATTGTGTTGTACAGTTGTCTCATATTTCTTTACTTTGCAGCTTTTTCCGCGGTCGTTGCTAGGTCTTTTGTGTACTTCTGTTTGTTAGATTTATCGCTCTTTTAAAAAGACCATTATAAAGCTTTTTCCACAGTGCTCTTCAAATAGTTTTGGTTATTATTTGTTTTTATGAAGTTATAGTATAAATTTTATCATTTAACCTTACATATTTGGATTAAACAAACACCTAAACTGTCGATGTCTTAGCAAAAACGTTTTATGTTCAAGCTTTAGGTTCAACATTTAGCAGTAATTAATTAGCATTACCCAATGATTAACGTGTATAAACAATTATGGTTTTAATAGTGTAAATGTATGTGTTTGTTACCTTTTCCTTCTTTGAGGTCTCGAACAGTTAAGATATTGTGAATACTTGTCAGAGGAACTTTGTAAATCTGAAAAAAGAATATTGTTATTAAGTTTTGTTTGAAAACTTTTATTGGGAAGATAATTACTGTTTATGGTACATTCAAAATCTGCCAATCTAATGTTTTCCTAAATAAATGATGGAATTGTTTTGAGACACTATCGTGAAATCATTTATTTTCTACCCTATTAGATCTAATAATCCCTTGGAAATCTATCAGTATCAAATAACGACAAACCGAAAATATAATTTTTTATCACGATTCTGGTTTAAATCAACGGGTTCAAAAGTGACTTTGGAAAGGGATGGAAACATGTTAACGCAATACCAGTAGCCTTCGTAGTGTTCACGTATGTGCGCTAAATGAAACCTTAAGGTGTTGTTCTAGTAGTAAGAAGCGATTAAGGTTCGGAATTCCAATTCAAAGGTTATTAAATTTTCAAAATAAAACTTTTTACAGCCTTGTCCTCTGCACCAGTGTTTATAAAGTAGATGCGTGGCAAATTTCATATTATAGCATTGGTGCAATCAAAAGAACTTTTCCTCGTGTAAATTTACAACCTCGACTCTTTTAGGAGTCAAAAATGTAACTACTAGTTTCTGGACTTTTGAGAATATAAATCTATGCAGGCAAGTTTAAAACACATTCTCATACAGGATAAGGTTGATTTGGATTTTGTAATCTGAATTCAAAAGATAAGATTTATTGAGACACGTTTACGCTATCCAACACCATAATTGACTTTCATTGTGTTTATTGTTAAGTCAACAGTTTTTGATGATGCCCGCTGAAGTATCTGTTTTTACGACTTATCAAACATTGATGCAACTACCCTGTTACTTTATTACCTATTTAACTTGAACTGTATTAAACAGTTCTAGTTGTTAAATGCAATTATAGATCTCTATTCGATTGAGGTACAGTTTTTTGGGTTTTTTTCTTTCTTATTCTTTTTAAAAAAACTTTTTTTATTTATTTCGTTCTGTATTTGTTACTGCCTTTTTGTTCGTTGTTCAGTAAGTAACTTGTTGAAATACCCTGTGCTGAGAATTCTATATTGTACCAAAATATAATATTGAATAAAGCCATTAATAATAAAAAATAATAATAAAATAAAAGTACAAACCAGTACTACGATCACTAAATATCGTTAGAAGTTTAAAAGATACAGTTTGGTTGCAGTGTACAATATTTCTGCGGGTTTTAAAATATGTACAGAAACAGTCAAAAAGTATTAAGTCTTAAAGTATTATAACTGAGCGAAATCCTCCTCGTATTTAACTGCAGCTTTAGTGATCCAAACACTAACCAAATAGTCGATTTCTAATTCATTCCAGTAGAAAATACGATAAGGGCCGAAACATATAAATTAATTGCTAACTTATCTGTGATCAGTCGTCGAGATATAGTTCTTCAAAGTATAGTCTACCTTTAATAAATCGATACAATAAATGGATTTATTTTTATCTGTGAAAACTAATATGAGTAGAATGTGGTAAATAGGTGAAGACAGACATGCTCTATCATAATTGGGGACGTAACTAGCCAATTTTTATTAGAACTCTGATACACTGGTAGTTTCTACTCACATTACTGTGCAAATAGTTATGTTTTGAGTAAACAAGATATCATATCTCTTGAATCTGCCTTTCAGTCATTCGTCTGATATTTCTTGTCTCTTTATTACGTAATCATATTTAATGGTCTACCTATCTAGTATATTATTCAGGTACCAAACGTTTTATCTCGAATCGTGGTCTACTGTCCCAAATCTAGTACAGTGATCTACCTTGCGCATTATCTAGTCATCCGATTGCGTGTTATCAGATAAGTGAACTTCAAATTCAGTCATTTCAAGAATAATAACAAGATCACTTAACTAGTGCCAGGAAGCACGCTTTGTAAACTGTTCTTCTTTCTGACTAATTTATTATACCGTAGGCTTTAACGTAAGAATTTTGAACATACCACACTATTGGTAAAGAGCAAACATGAAGAATGAAGAAAGCGATCATTTTTTCACTGTCAACAGCGTATCGTCATTGTTCACAGGAATACTTTCAGTAGTCAATTTTCAGCTCCTACATCAATACAAGGACTTGGAGTCATACCTTAAATTGTCTCAAAGTAGGTTGTAAGATGCTAATTATGTAGACCAAAGATACAGAACCAAAAATTGTGGTTAATCATTTGTGTCTGTAATATTACTTAAGTGGTAAAATAATCAGTTATATAGCATGTAAAACAAGCGTTAGTAAACAGCATATTGAATACTAATACCACTTGCAGTTATTTATGTCGCAATAATGTCACTGTGAGACATAATGATGTTTAAAACGCTTGGAATATAAAACAACTTGCTTATCAAAATACAGTGTTACTGGTATAACCTAGAATGAACACAAAATCTTGATGTTGTTTATCCCAAAACTCCCATTTTGTTCGAGACGATGGTTAAATGTTTATCTTAAGCATTCGTAAATCTATAAACAAAAATCAATGAAATAGGTGAGTTACAGTTCACAAATTAGTTGTAATTCAATCTACTCAATCACAATGATAATTATAAGCTCTAAAACATTGTAATGATACATGATATTTTAAAGACTATTTTTCCAATTTCTGACCTCTGGTTGAGCCGTTTTATATCCCATTGGTAAAGATTGTAATAGTCTGTCATCTACATTCTCAACAGTGAACGAAGTGTGGCCGCTTTCCAAAATATCTATGCTTTGAGTCCGATGTTTGGAGTGTTGACTTAAACGATTGGCCTCTGCACAGTCAGGTGAGATAATGATTAGTGTTTTTGAGTTTGGTGAGGCAACCACACCTTTGCGGTAGCGATCGTAACGAACCGGACAGTTTACAATCGATAAAACGGTAGACTGAAACAAGATTCGAGTGAAAACATAATGTTTTAATACCAAAAATTGGACAGACTTAATCTCACACTTTATAGAACACATTAAGATTTGGAAGAAATTATTAATTTTGAAGTACATGTACCAAGGCTTATGAGTTATGATCAAATAACGTGGCTTTGGCACCTAACTTCTTAATTATCAGGTCAGTATCTCAAATACAATTTATTTGATTAGGCTTATCAACTTCATCATATGTGCATATGGAAATTTGAGATGTACTAACTCAAGTCTTTTTGTTTTAAAGACGTCCTACAGCCAGTAGATTTGTTTATTAAGTAAAATCTTGGGTTTATCCATAAGATGCAATGGTTTTAAGTAGGGAACTAATAACTACCTCCAAAATTGTCCTTAAAATACTATCTGATATGGTGAAAAAGATTTCTTGTAGATTTTTAAAGCTATAGCTATTAAAATCTTTGACCTACAAATGATATTTTGCATGTAGCTTTAGTAAATATTCTTTTATTTATGCTCACAAAAGCTGAATCCCACACTTTCATACAAAATTCTTTTCTCTTTTTACGCGAGTGAAAAATGTTTTGCACATTTAACAGTTTATCGAACGTAAATGAGTATAGACTGACTTCCCAAAGTTTGCTTATGATGCCTTACAAGCATAAGTACGAAGGTCTAACCAGTTATGCTACTACTTAAAATATCCACAGTTTGATGTCAAACAATAAGGCGTTTTTTTATGTTTTACTCTCCAAGTGTTTGTTAACAAAAAGTGGGTTTTAACTGATTGCTTGACATATATCTAAAGCAGTTATATATAAACAATCAAGTTTAGTTAAATGGCCATCGAGAAATGAAAAAATTATAATGACTAAAAAAGACAACAAATGACATGAAAGTTCTTATTACCTTTAATTTGTTGCTACAGTGCTGCTCAGTTATCAACAGACTTTATAAATGATGCAAGGTTTCACTTTAGATAAAGTGAGAAAAATATTACAGTAGGTCCAAAGTAATTATTTAAAGGCTCTTTCAGATTTTTCGTTTTTATCAAGTTATCGCCTAAAAAGCCATTATATTTATTTCCAACTAGCTAGTTTTAACAACCAAAAATTTTCAATGAACATGTATGAAATACTGAAGGAATTCTTATGGCTTAATAGACCGTCATACAGGTAGCACTGTCCTCCAGGTTTCGTCATCATGATAAAACTTCTAATTGAATGGTTATAATTTTCAGATTAATTCATTTTGCAAAGAATATCATTAAGATGGTGGAAGGCTTACATATGGTATAAAAGCTGTTAATGCAATGTGAATCCACTCTTCATTCCAAAAGATTAGCGGAAGACAGTTACATGAATCATCAAAAAGCATGACTTCACACAGCTGAAGTACCGTTTGAACTGCTTCCATCGACTGAATTGACTTTGATTTGTTGTTTGTGCTCGCGTTTTGTATTGCCAATTCCTCGTCTCCTTCACACTTTAGTTTCTTTTGAGACATTATTAAAGTTTTTGGGTGCTTTACTTCCGAAACAACTGCAAAGAACGTAAACTCTAAAGAAGGATTATATATTTTCCAGTTGAAGTGGCTTTGGTTGTTAGAGAATCTTTTGGAGTAGATTTCTTGTATTACTTGATGCAGAGGTCTGTGATAAGCTGCTGAACATACTAAAGATGACTTTTGTGACAAGAGTTAATGGGTTAAAAACGGTATACATGGTTTTGACGTAGGATAAAATAAATTTTATTTAAATGCACTATACAATCAAATTCTGAAAAAACACCGGTAACAGTGTATTGCTTTTTTCTATTCTAAAATGCAGCAATCATTGCACTGATTGCAAATTACTAGCATATAGTTACCCTAGCTGCTACTAGTTCTGCGCTTCCTAGGAAATTCAGCTGACAGCAAAAGAGATCTTGTTGAATTCATCAGGCATCTGATCATCAAACCAATTATGATTCCTAACTGTATTGTGTTAGATAGCTATTGTATGAAATATATGCAGTTGGTCAAACATTAAACCAAAATGTTATTCTGGATAATAAAAATTTGGATTCGTTTGTAAGATATGAAAAAAATGGCTGGGGAAAAATATAAATAAGTGACAACTGTTCCTTAGTAAAATGCAATATTACGATTTACCACATTCTGACAATCATGGTAAAGCAAAGCAGTTCAATGCTAAAAATTAAATACACACTTATTCTACGTCAAGCATATTGCATGCACATCTACTTCTAGTCATATCAGTCATCACACATTCAACATATCGTCTAGCTAAAAATATTTTTCATCTGTCATGGTTGATATCACTTTAATTCGTGACCACCATTGTGTAGACGTTGATAAACTACCATGTTGGACGCGTGGCTTGACAACACATGTCGTTAAGATCTGACGAAATCATCCTCATAAAACAAAATTCATCTCAAAACCAGTCAAAATCTAGTAAAATTTGTTGTTTTCATGAAATGATCAGCGATATACAGTCTTTTCCTTCAAGAAATTTTGTTTTGTCAAGAGTTTGTCTGTTCATAAGTTTGTGAAATTCGATATTTTTATACCGTAAAGATCATCCGTTTCCGAAATAAAAACTAAACAGATCAACATAATGGCCTAATAACTTTAAATCTATCACTAAAAGATGTCTGGCTTAAACCTTTTGTAGTCTACATCGAGCAAAAATTGAACTTTTTGACAAATGATAATAATTTTGTAAAACATATTACGCTATCTTAAAATACGGGTGCTGAATACAGTCACGTTTTTCCATCGGGATAAGCTTAACGTTTATACTTCTAATCAAAAGTAGATCTGGTAACTCTTGAACGTCGATTTTTGTTTTAATCAGAAATCACTAACTTTTAGGCGGCTTATGTATAACTTGTCAGGAAGTGCATATTGTGTAATGCTTCCACTCCTATCCCTCAAAAGCAGATGATAATTTGAGGGTGTTTGAACCATAAAACGTTCTTCATAAGAGTTTCTTTCTTTGAACTTTAGTTTGGCGTTAAGCACAATCACGCAATCGCCTTGCGAGAAAAATAATCGGAATTCGCATACTAACCAATGTTAAATTGGGATGCCACCGAATTAACACTCGAGAATGTACCCCAATAGCTTCCGTTTATCCAATCATATGTGCTGTCTCTAAGAGTGAATCCTAATACAGCTTGACTATTCGAACCCGAGAAATTAGTATTGCATCGTTTAACGGACTGTTTCTGAATAATCACACCTAGAAGGTTAACTTTAGCGTGTTTTTCGGAAATGTTTCTTATATTAATAAGTTTGTATTCATCAAGAATGTTTGTCTGTTGTCTTTTTTTATGAATATACATTCTTATGTTGAAGCGCAGTAATAAATCCGAAGTTTGTTTTTCCGCCAAATCTGTGTTATTCCGCGCCTACAGTATTCAATATTTTAAACACGACCTTGCACGAACCGAGTTGCTTTTTGTGCTTGCTTCTTGATTTATCATTACGGTAACGCGTATTTTTCAATGTTAAATGAGTGTTGGCTTAGACATTCGACTTCATTCATCCTTGTCTGTAAGGTGTTTATTTGTGAGTTTGTAGATCTTGTAGTTTGGGTGAATACATTTGAATTCTGCATACCAACAGTTATCAAACTATTAAGCAGAAGGTTGATTGAAAAGTGAAAATGTGTAAGAATACGGGAGTGAAAGAATATGAGGGAAATCGGAGATGATAGTAGGCGAAATCGGAATGAAATACTGGTATGTGACAATGACATTGTGGCAAGTTATGAGACATGTATCCGCCACAGCTGGGTCGAGAACGAGATGAGTACTGCCGGTCCCAGGCTCGGATAAAGAAGAAGGATTGTGCATGTGTTCAGCAACGCCATCCCGTAGGAAACAAACCTGCTAAAAACATGCTAACCAGAACAAACAGATTTGACCGTTTATACCATGCCTCCTAAGTTGAAAGATCTTTAATTATACTAATTATGATGCCCAATGTAGAGAGCCAATATTGTTCGGAGTTGAGGAGGCCGATGCTCTTTGTAACAATCAAAGAAACAATTAATATGGGAACACGGATTGTTCGGACAGTGTGAGAGATCAGTAAGACTAATGAAATAGCTGAGCAAATGAGAAAATAAAACTTGGTGATGCTCGAAATCAGATGCATCCATACTCCGATCTCCAAAACGGAAATGCTCCACATAGGCAAGGAGTTTTTCTAGTGCTGTTCAAAGAAGCTCGAAATACACTTATTGGATGGGAATCTCATGAACCTGTAACAGCTTAGGTTGGTTGGTTAAGAGTTGACCCCAAACAACCAAGCATATGCCAAAACAGTATTGTTCAAGTATTCATTCATTTCCTTGTTTTGTATAAGCGTTATATTCCCTATTATCTTATATTGAATGTTGAGAGCCTTTGTTTGCCTGAACAGATAATCCCACGCTCCACTGTGACTGCGCGAAGATCGAAATAAAGACCTATTCACTACTTGTCTGGTTTCTTCTATCAATAGCACGAGGGTTACTTCAAGGCACGAAATTGGTGAGCCCTTTTTGAACACAAATTTAACCTCATTTCTGTTATTAACATACTTTTTACTTAATCGTAAAAGTAGACCTGATTATCCGTAAACTAATTTGAGTATATAACTAGTTTATTCCGTATTATCTTAAGTTATTCGTGTTATAGTAACCACTTTTTGTGCTAACTTTATTGCTATATTTGTCACATACCTCATGTCAGACTCAATAGAAACCCATAATCTGGAGGATTTGTCACCAGTGGAGATAGACACTGTCATGACTACGAAATCCCGACTTCCAGAATTTGATCGTAGTGATCCTGAGTTGTGGTTTGCTCAACTAGAGCATTATTTCACGAGACACAATATCAAATCTGAAGGGATTCGCTATGGAGACTTGTGTTCTATCCTTCCTCCTTCAGTCGCCAAAGAAGTCCGTGACTTGATTTTAGATCCACCATCACCACAACCATACACCATCTTAAGACGAGAGATAATGAACCGTTTATCATTATCAGATAGTCGAAGAATCCAAAGACATTTTCAAGGTGAAACACTAGGTGATCGGTCGCCGTCACAGTTTTTACGTCACCTCCAAGTCTTAGTGGGTGATAACACAGTGGGTGAAGCAGTCCTAAAACAAAGATGGATACAAGCTCTCCCATGCTACGTCCAACACTGTTTGGATGCACATGATCCTGAAACCTTATTATCTCATTTAGCGCGTATAGCCGACAGAATAATGGAAAGAGGTCCTCCAACCGGATCAGGCACAATAAATCACACACAAAAAGTAGAATCAGCAAATGACCCCGTCATAGGACTCATTGCGAGTGTTAAGAGTCTCACTGAGGCAGTCACCAGAATGCAAATGGGTCATAGAAACAGGAGCAGGTCACCACAACGACCACGATCCAAGTCACAAAACAGGTCACAAATGTCCAGACAATCTGGGCAGTTTTGTTGGTACCACTGGAAGTTTGGTATCAACTCAACCAAGTGCATGCCACCATGCACCTGGCCTAAGCATAATTCTAAAACAGCGGGAAACGAGTAACCCCTCCCCAGGTCGCGACGACTGAGGAGGGGCGCCTAAACAGTCGCTTGTTTTATGTTAGAGACAGAAACTCGGGCTTAAATTTCTTGGTGGATACTGGCGCTGCTCTTAGCATCATCCCTCAAAATAAAACTGAGATTAGTCGAGAAACATCATCAATTACACTTCAAGCTGCAAATAAAACTAAAATTGCGACATTTGGGCAGAAAACTTTAACCCTAGATTTGGGGTTCAGGAGGCAATTCCCTTGGGTTTTCACGGTAGCCGACCTAGATCTGGCAATACTGGGGATGGACTTTCTAGAGAGATACGAATTTCTAGTTGACACCAAGAAACGGCGATTAACACTAAAAGAAACTTCGTATTACACAAAAGGCAAAGAAAGTCACATCAGCTCTCTTAACTTGATTCAAACTCCTCCAGTAACAACAGCGAAATTCCAAGATATACTCGCGGAATTTCCAAACTTAACTAAACCAAACCCACAGCCTTCTAAAGACAAACTAAAAGTGAGTCACACTATCAAAACCGAAGGTGCACCGGTGTTTGCAAAACCCAGGAGACTAGCACCAGATAAGCTCAAAATCGCTAGAGCCGAGTTTGATTATATGCTACAATCGGGTATTATCCGTCCCTCTGATAGTCAATGAGCATCCCCTTTGCATGTGGTCCCAAAGAAGAATGATGGTGACTGGCGACCGTGCGGGGATTACAGAGCCCTAAACCGTCAAACCGTACCAGATAGGTACACAATACTTCATATCCAAGATTTCACAAACGGTTTACAGGGTATGAACATATTCACTAAAATTGACTTAGTCAGGGCATATCACAATATCCCGGTGGCTGATGAAGATATTCCCAAGACAGCTATTACTACACCCTTTGGCTTATTCGAGTTTGTATGCATGCCATTCGGCCTGAGAAATGCGGCACAGACATTTCAAAGATTTATAGATAACCTACTTCGAGATATGCCATTTGCGCAGGGGTATATAGACGACTTGTTAATTGCCAGCCCCGATTTGCAATCACACGAACAGCATGTACAAGCAGTGTTGAAAAGACTGGATGAACATGGAATAAACATACATCAAAGTAAGTGTGTTTTCGGTGTTCAAGCTTTAGAATTTCTCGGTCACACAATAAGCCCAGAAGGGATTAAACCTATCAAAAAAGAAGTGGATACCATCAAACAATACCCCGCACTTAATTCTCTAACACAACTGAGAAGTTTTCTAGGCCTAATTAACTTTTATCGCAGATTCATACCAGGCTGTGCACAATTAATGCAACCTTTGACAGACTCACTTAAAGGAAAACCAAAAGAATTCAAACTGTCTTCTGACGCCATCAAAGCTATTAAACAGCTTAAAGATAAACTGGCTCAAGCAACTACGTTGATATATCCGAATTCTCTTTCCCCACTTTCTTTGATGGTGGATGCTTCAGATAAAGCAGTAGGCGGTACCCTCGACCAACTGGTTAAAAACGCCTGGAAACCAATTGCTTTCTTCTCAAAAAGACTCGCTCCAGTCGAAACAAGGTATTCTACCTTCGGGCGAGAACGTCTTGCAATCTACCTGACCATTAAACACTTACGACACATGTTAGAAGGTAGGGAATTTGTAGTCTTTACGGATCACAAACCACTGACGAATGCATAAAAAGCGAGAGCCGATAAATACTCACCTCGAGAAGTCCGACACCTTGACTATATATCACAGTTCAAAAGCGATATCCGACATGTCAAAGGTCAGGACAATCAGGCGGCAGATGCTTTATCCAGACTAGAAATGAACATGCTACAGCAGTCTACAGTAAACTTTGAGACGTTAAGACACGAACAAGAGCAGGACCTAGAATTACAAAACCTACTTAAAACAAACAATTCAAGTCTTAATTTAAAACAATTCCCATCACCTATCGATGGTATTCTAATTTATTGTGACACGACCAAGGCAATGCCGCCACCTTTCGTTCACAAAAATATGCGAAAGTTGATATATATTAACTTTCATTCTTTGTCTCATCCTGGCGCGAAAGCTTCAACGAAACTAATCAATGCCAGGTATATATGGCCGAATTTACAGAAGGATGTACACAAATGGGTTAGAGAGTGTTCAGCATGTCAACAATCAAAGATTAATCGTCACACAAATTCACCCATAGATGTTTTCTCTCAACCAGATGCACGTTTTGCCCATGTGCATATCGACTTGGTAGGTCCTTTACCACGTTCAAACGGTTTTAATTATCTTTTTACATGCATAGATCGATTTACCAGATTCCCTATAGCCATTCCTATAGCGGACATCACAGCGGAAACAGCAGCCAAAGTTTTCATGCAGAACTGGGTAACCATTTTTGGTACACCCATAACAATAACGAC